TTCATCATGAGCATCATCTCCTGCCTTCTGGCACAGACACGTCAGCTTCCAGCATCAGCCTTCCAGCCTCCCTGCACAGACACTCTAGCCTCTAGTACCAGCTCTTGGGCTTTCTGGCACAGACCTTACAGTCTTTCATCACAGATACCTTGGCCTCCTACTATGGACTCGTGCAAGACACTGCCATGGGATCCAGGCCTTTGGCTGGATTCTTTGGAATCTCTAGAGTGTGGACAGATCTTTTGCACTCTACTACACTTAACTCTTTGGGCAGATATTGTCAGCTAATCATGTAAATTTTTGTATCATGCATTAAATCTGTTTCTCTTGCAAACATTGATTACAGCAGTGCATAATGTAGGTAACACTCACCTGTTTATACTTTGACACATGTACATAGACCTTGCCATTCATTGTACCAAGTGGGTGAACACAAATATTGCCTCCTGTATTCCCCCAGTACAGCTACTGAGATGCAGAGCTAGCTACCATTACGCTAAGTTTGGTTCAGTTCTGATAGTTCTTTGTTGATTTCTTTTTATCTGTCTCTTTGTAACAGTTGGATATTGAGGTCCCCCATTACAACTGCATTAGTGCTTATTTGATTTTTCATGTCCGTTAATATTTGTTGTATATATTTAGGTTTCCTGGTATATATTTGGTGCATATATATTTATGATAGTTATCTCTTCCACTTGGCTTGTTCTCTTTACAAGGATGTAGTGACCTTCTTTGTCTCTCTTAAAGTTTTGGCTTGAAATTGACTCTGTCTACAAATAGAATGGCTACCTCTGCTTTTTTCTGGCTTCTTGTTGCAGGGAGTATTGTTTTCCATCCTCTGACTTTCAGGCTATGGGTTTCTTTTTGAGTTAAATGTGTTTTTTGTATGCAGCATATTGTTAAATGGAATATACAATAGGGTGCATTAAAAATTTTATTTAACTGAAATGCCATATACTGACTTCCATTTATTTTGATACATCTTGTGCCCATGGTGATTTAGAGGATCTTCAAGCCAATATAAATATTTCATAAATGTATTTGGGAATACATTTGCACATCTTTCAGCAAGAAAAACACTGAAGAGTAAAGACCTGACACAATTAACTACATACAATGAGAATCTGCTAAAAATAATTGTTTCTCCGTAAAGGCACCACACACCTGTACAATTAAGAAAATCATCCTTACAACACAGCATGATTTTTGATTTTTGATTTAATTTTTTTGGTACCAGGGATCGAACTCGGGACCTTGTGATTGCAAGGCAGGTGATGGAACCACTGAGCTAAATTCCCGGCCCGATTTTTTATTTTTAAGTAGGGCTTAGGGCACTCAGCCACTAATTAGGTGCTGCATGGCAGAGCTACATACTCAGCTTATGCCATGAATTCATAGGGAATACGTTCCAACAACTCAGGCTCCTTCCCATTGGTTCTCATAGTTTGCTTCTTTGAGTGGGGCAGGTTGGCACTTCAGTTGAACCCAGGTACCTTTCTCTTTGGCCTCCTTCTTTTTCTGATCATTTTCCTTGACACATTTCAGAAAGCTATCTTGACTCTTTGTTTAATATGCTCAATACACATATTAATCCTCTTGGCAAGTATTTTGCCCTTAATTTGCTTGTTTACAACAATACTAATAGCATGCTGGGTAATACTGTAGACTCTTCCAGTTTTGCCATGGTAACATTTGTGTGGCATTGTTTTTTGAACATTACCCATTTCCTTGATGTCTACAGTATCACCCTTTTTGAAGATTTGCATGTATGTGGCCAAAGAAACAACCCCATGTTTTCTTAAAGGCCTACAGAACATTTACCTGGTTCCCCTCCCTTTGCGTTCATCATTTTGGCAAATTACTGGAACTTGGCAGTTCCAGACAAAAGGAAATCTTGTTTCTTAATCCATCCTGCCAATTTATTTCTTTTGATTGGTAAATTGAGACCATTCACATTGATGGTTATAACTGTTAGGTATTAACTTGTGCTTGTCATACTATTTTCTTGTTGTTGATTCACTTTCTTTCCCTTCAATTTATTTGCTTTTCCTGGGGGATTCATTCTATTGGGATTCTTGGAATTGTTGTCTTCATTGCTTTTTTTCTAGAATATCCTTCAGAATGGTTTGGAGTGCTGGCTTGGTGTTCATCATGGAGGTATCTTATTTCAGCATCAATTTTGAAAGACAATTTTGTGGGATACATCAATCTGGGTTGGAGGTTGTTTTCTTTTAGGACTTGAAATACTTCAGTCACTCCTTGATTTGAGGGTTTGTATTGGGAAGTCTGTTGGATTCTTGATGGGCTTACCTTTATAGGTGATTTGTTTCTTTTTTCTAATAGCTTTTAATATTCTGTTCTTGTGTTCTGGAATCTTGACTATTGTAGTCAGGGTTTGCAAGGGAATAGATTTAATACAGGACACATAATTTAAAGTATTATTTTATAATATTCATCCCAAAAGTCAAATGCAGTGGACTGCAAGAGATCTGTCCACACACTAGAGACCTGAAGAATCCAGCAAAGGCCTGGATCCCATAGCAGTGTCCCACACAAGTCCAGCTAAAGGCCTAGAGCCCAAGACAATGACCTCCATGAATCTAGCCAGAGGCTTAGAGCCCAGGGAAATGTCTCATGAAAGTCTGTATCAAGGATCTACACTGAGAAGGCCCAAAGGCCAGTGGTGGAAGCTAGAAAATCTGTACCATCAGAGTGAAGGATCTGTGCCACCAGGGTGAGGAATCTGCACTGGAGCCAGGAAGTGATGCTCAAGGAGTAAACCAGAGCTCCCCTGAAAAGAACAGCAGTCATCCCCAGTGACAGCAAGGACCCGAGCTCCTCTGATGACAAGAACACCCAAGTTCATATCAGGAAAACCAGCTATAGCAAGCATCTCCAAGAAAATCAACAGTATAAAATTTTCCCCCAGGTTCCCTTTTTTGCTGTTGGCAACAATTCTCAGGTGGATCTTCTACACCCAGAACCATGCTGACTCAGTTCAACTGGACATTCCAAGTTGACCATTAATTAATCCACCATATTGACTATTATATATCTCGATGTAGTTTTTTTTTATCATGGGCGATTGGAGTTCTAGATGCATCACTTATCTGTATGTCAAATTCTTTTTCCCTGTTTGGGAAGGTTTTTGCTATTACTTCTGTGAACAGGTTTTTTATGTTGTTTGCACCATCTCATACTTTTTCATTGACTCCAATCAATCTTATTCTTCTTTGCATCATCTACCTGATGGATTGATTTCTCATGGTCCTTTGCAATTTTTAAGAAATCTCTCTTTTCATAATCACTAACCACAATCCTGTCTTCTATATCTGATATTCTGTTCTCATGTTGTCTCATTCTGTTGCATATACTTTCAATGGAATTTTTGGTCTCCTAGATATCTGTTTGAATCTGTTTCATGGATTCCTTTTCTTTCCTATGTGGGACATTCATGCTTTCCATCATTTTCCTCTATTTTTTTTTATCTGTGCCTGCCCTAGAGTCACCAACCATGGCTTTCATTATGGTCATCATCTCTATAGTTATCTGAGAAACTATTTCTGCTTTTTTTCTAGATCCTCATTAATCTGCTTTGTTAGTTCTAATATTACCACTTCAGAGAATCCAGATGGGTTGCTTTCAAATTGTTCCATCTCATGCCCCCTGAGTTTGCCTTTAGTGAGCTGGAAGTTTGGGGCTGCATCTTGTTTAAGTTCTTTCTTTCTTTCTTTCTTTCTTTCTTTCTTTCTTTCTTTCTTTCTTTCTTTCTTTCTCTTTCTTTCTTCCTTCCTTCCTTCCTTCCTTCCTTCCTTCCTTTCTTTCTTTCTTTCTTT